CGCATGTGGAACTGGAGGTACTTCTAGCCATTTAGAATGGGCATCAACCCAAAGTAGGCACATCATCCTATTGATTGGGGAAAAGTAGTCCGCGTGTATCCGATGCCAATGCCTCTCCGGCCAACGCCATGGACGTATCGGTCCGGGAGATATTTGCCTTTAGTATTTCTGACATTGTTCATAGTTTTTCGGCAGCCGCTCTCTATCCTAGTCAATGTTCGGCCACCAACAGTAACCACGTGCCAGTGCCTTCATCCTGTTCACGCCAGGGTGTGCGTCTTACAGCTCTCTCAACAACTGGGGCCGTAGTTCTTCTGGTGAAACTATGCGCGAACCTCGAAATATACAGCCGTCGTTTAGACTCAACTCATTACTCCGACAGGCGAATGGTTTCAGTTCGTCTGACGTGCTTGTAGGCCATCCGGTAGTCAAGAACCATTCCACCATCGACAACACAGGGTCCCGGTCCGTCAGGCGCCGCACAACGTCACTCCGGATGGGTGTCTTTTCAAGATGTCGCATCGAATTGATAAACTCCATGGGTTCACTATTCGTTTTTGTGCTATGCTGCTACGGAAGGCGACTAAGTGCACCAACAATTGCATTACTTGGTCCGTTCACATACTGAAGTTTGTAGTTATAGGAGCTCAAAAATAATGCCCATCTTTGCCTTCGAGGCGAAGACGTCTGTTGGATTCCTTTCTCCTCACCCAGAAGCAAAAGAAGTGGTTAATGGTCAGTGTGAATATTGAACTGTCTTCCCCAGATGTACTGATGGAAATGCTTGACTTCGAAAATAATCGCTAAGGCCTCTCTGTCCAGTTAGGAGTAATTCTTGCCAGCGGGTTACAGAGTACGAGGAGCAAAAGCGATTGGACGAAAAGAACCGTCATCCGTCTGGTGGCAAAAGACTGCGCTTACTCCGCGTGGGGAAGCATCACACTGCAGCACTATAGGCCGGCTCGGATCGAAATGCACGAGATACGGGGAGGCGCTGAGAAGTTTTTTCGCATCTGTGAAGGCCTTTCTTTGATCTGGACCCTAAGTCCAAGACCTCCTCTTGTGCAACAGCAAGTACAAGGGTGCAACTACTGTTGAGGCGTTAGGTAATAAGTGACGATAGTGTGAAAACATTCCTAAGATGATCGGAGTTCAGCTTCAATTTTGTGTTCAGGTGCGACAAGGATGGGCTTGCCTTTGTCTGCTAACATGTGTAATCCATTTTTATCGAGGCGGTAACCAAGGTAACGAACAAATTATGAGAAAAACGTACTCTTGGACTTCTTCAGGTTGAGTTCACTCAGTCGCAGACGTTAGAGCACAGTGCAAAGGGTTTGTAAATGTTCAGCATCTTTAAATTCTGTACTTAGAATGCTGTCAAAATAGGTGTAAGTGAAAGGAATATCGTTGCTCAGGTTGTCGATGATCCTTTGGAATATCGCTGGGGCCGAACTGATTCCGAAGGGCAGACGTTTGTACTGGAATAAACCCATGTGGATACTTATCGCAGTGCATGAGTGAGAGGTCTCGTCTTTCTCAATTTGTATGTGTCACTGAGGTCGATCTGTGTAAAGTTTTGTCCACCTGACAGCGTAGCATACAGATCCACTATCCGAGGTAAGGGATACTTATCAAGAATTAAAAAAAACGATTAACAGTTAGTCTGTAGTCACCACAATTACGCACAGAACCATCCGGCTTCAGGACTGGAACTATTGGAGCTCCCCACTCACTGTATTGGACTGGCTCGATTGTTCCTGCAGATTGCAATCTCTTTATCTCGTCTTCTACCTTTGATCTCAGGCACGTGACTTAAAAAAGTAGGGCAGAGTTCCCGGCCGTAATTTGGCTCTAGCTTGATTTCCGTTCAATATTCCCATTTTGTCATCAGAAACGTCAGAATATTTCTTGTGCACATCCTCCAAGCGCTGGTTAATGGACATGAACTTCACTGTCTTTAGCGTAGCCGGAAGGGATTTAATCCAGTCGCACCCGAGTAAGTTTGGACAATCATTCGCCACAACATATGCCTGTAAGGTCCGCTACTTCCCATGGTAATTAACATGAACAGTGCATTTTCTAAGGACTGGTATCGGATGCCCAGTGTACGTACGCAAAGTCGATTCACAGGGAGATAACCTGGGTAATCATTTAACTGAGGCAGCACTGATTATGTTAATTGAGGCACCGGCATCAACTTTCATTTTAACCAACTGGCCTTACGTTTCCAACTGAACAATGTACGGTTCGTGAATGCTACAGATGCTTGACGTTGCGTTCAAGATCGTGTTTAGCTGGTCTTCTACGTCTGAAGACTAAACGATCTTCACGGGCTTCCTGGGAAAACGTGATGTCGCAGCTGTGCCAGTTTTAGATAGGCAAACTCGGGCCAAATGCCCTAATTTTCCACATTGGCGGCAGATACTCTGTTTATAACGACATTCCTCGGCTAATAAAGACTGACTTCCACATCGGTAACAGGTAAAAGACAATTTGGACAGTCTCGGGGTAACATCTTTCGGTCGACTGGCTGGAGCAGGTTGCAAAGAAAAAGCTGCTAAGTGTTTATGAACATACTCCTGATGTCGTAACTGGGATCTCAGTACACCGACACTGGTAGGGCTTGCTGAACTCGCGCAATGAAATCAAAGAAACTTTCTTTAAGGTTTTGACACAAGGTCGAGAAAGGATATGGCGCAGTGTGTGTGTTCAGTCATGACCCCATAACCCACTGAGAACTTCCAGCGCTCTGTTGACTGTCGCCTTCTCACCGACATGAAGTGCATCAAAGTGTCTTTGACCTTCATCCCACAGGAATTGTCTCAGTAATTTAATTTTGTGACTCATTGAGAGTACCATGTTTGGTTGTAAGACTGGTAGCAGCTCCAAGTAATGCAAAAAAGTGCGCTTCCAGCGGTTCCAGGTAGCCGGTGTTGGTTTCTCAGAAAGAATATTTTAAAGTGGTGTAGGAAGGTGCAACATCGCCGTAGTTTAACTTCAGCGCCAGAATGTAAACTATGGCGCTTAGCCGATGAACGGAACAGAACGCGCAGGCGTAGTACGGAACCGTTTTACTAAAAGGTTCCTGCGTTACAATGGCTAGAAAATCCGGAAAGAAAAACCAATAAAATAAGGAAAGTAAAGCAAGGGCATTGTCAATCAATGATGTGTGCCTGTGTTCCCGAATCTACACTTAAGTGCACACACGATATATATATATATATATATATATATATATATATATATATCGTTCGCGGCATCCGGTTTCGGATTTGCCTGTCACGGTGACCAGCCACAGGACGCCTGCGCCTACAGAGGGACCATGGGTGGCTTGCGCTGCACCACCCACAGCTCCATCCACACACCCCATATCCAGTTTAAACCCGAAGGAATAATACCCGGAGACATGTGGATGGGAGCCACGTTTCATCAACGGAGCCGGCCCACACTCCTTCACAGGCAAACACAAGCACGCTGTGTTTGGGGAATCAAGTGCACACAAGGCGGTGGCTGGACCGTAGTCCACTCCACACTGACTGCATGGAACCACTCTTCGAGCGTAACACGACCACAAGGATCGTGCACCCCGTCCCGTGCGGCAAAGACCAACTGTCTCCTAGAGCCAGTATGGACGAGGTAGTGGGTAATAGACAGGTAGGCACCTTGTCAACATGCACATCAAGCGCAGCCATATCGGGGATGTCAAACAATAGCCAATAACTTGAAATGACCTTATCAAATAAAATATATCTGTGAAAGCATACGACTATGCAGACATAACTCTACCCTAAATTAGCACATGAAGTAAGTTGGTTAGCAACGAACCCGCGATAAGGAAAAATGTCTACAAATAACTTAAACATGCTACGAACGCAATAAAGTTAATGAAGATAACCACAATTAGCGTAAGCAACGTGGCCAGTTAATAGGAGATTAGTCACGTAGGCAGAACAAACCAAATAAAGTGAAATGAAATTTATCCAGCTTAAAAAGACCTAGTTTAAGTGTAAGTTGGTTTAGCCCAACTGCGGTGAAGAGGCATCATGAATGCAACATCAGCCTCACAATAGGGCACATCACCCGAAAGCTAGCAAATCCAGTTGGCGCTTGGTAACAGACCCTATGGTGTAGTACCGGACCGTCCCTCACGACCGGATAGTCTACGCCGAGCTGGCTACGTGATTCGCCTGCCTACTTAGAGACCACTCTGGAGTTTGTCAACTGCCAAGACTGCCTCCTGTTGTCTGAAGCTACGGAGTGGCCTACCGGCAAAATGAGGAACAGGCACAGTGAAGTCGAATGAAGGAATTGTTCGATCTGGCATATGTCACAATCCGGGATTGGGAGCTCGTGATCGGAAACATCAGCGGTCAGAATTTCTCTTTAACATGACAAAGCCAATGACCTTATTGCATTCAACTTCTTGACACTAGACGTGCGATGTGAGATCCAAGACTTCGTTTTGAGTCTTCTTTTGCTACATGTAACCTGGTGCCGCTGCTTGAGTCCTCCCCCCCCCCCCAACGGGGTTAGGACATACCTCCAGTTTGCTGCACTGAGATAATGTAACCGTCAGAATCTTACACGGCTAGAAGTGATAACGGGAATGGCTGCATAAGATGAAGGTTTCATAAAGGGTCAACAGGAGTGCAGGAAAGTGATACCGGTAATGTACTTAACGAACAACAGTACTAATGCGCGCAGGATGTGAGATATAACAACCGGCACTCGAAGTTTTTTGTCAATAACACAAAACTACACTATAGTGAACGCAGCACGGGAAGCCATCACTTTACGAGAAAAGCCTACGGAAGTCAAATGTGAATGGAATAAGAAGCGCGCGTCAAGTGAATGCTGTCCGTAGTGGGCGGTAAGATACATAGGCATTGATCCAGAAAGAGATGTGTGATGTTATGTACCGGGTTTAAATTGTTGGTAGAAATTAAGTGGAAGTCGAGCAAACGGACAAGGAGAAGATAAAGCTGTAGATCAGCACTCACCAAACGCGAATTTTAATGCGATCCGAAGCATTATGGCACTCACTGAGGAAAGTGACAAAAGAGAAGTGCAGGTGAGTAAACGTTCGAGGGGAGTGGGCGGGGCACATCACAAACTGGGTTACATATGCAGTGTTAGGCGAGCCCCCTCCTCTCAGGGTACAGCTATGTCTATGAAGTTCAGGCGAACAAATGAAAGTAAAAGAGAAAAAAAATGCAAGATTATGAACCAGTCTTCGAAGAAAACAGATGCAAAGTTCACCTAATTATGAGTGTGCTCAATGGCCGAGAAAATAAGTGCCAGAAGGAATAGTATCAAAGCCACAAATTCGACTGCCGTAAAAGCATCACAAATGATGAGGCAAGCTCACCGAAACTAGCGTAACGATGTGGTTAGCATCAGGATAATATAGTGGTGCAGATGACGAACTGGAAGTAAAATACCCAGGGAGATAACATCTTCTTAAGGTAACAAGCAACGACACAGGGACTTGAGAAGCATAAGTGCCTGCTGCTGCTGCTGCAGCTAGAGCGAGCACATTGGACGTGTGTATCGGCAGCGAGTCTTCCTCATGATGACGACGATCCGATACTAGTGGAGAAGTAACAAAACGAGGTGGTTTGTGCAAAAGTGTTTGTTCGAAAACAGTTTTTTATCTCGGGTTACTCGCTCACACTGTATTCACGAAAGAAGCGAGTGCGGTTGTAAAACGGTTGAAATGATAACGAAGGCATCGGATTTAAAGCGGCAAAAAGATGTCAGGCGTGAGCGATACTTTGCCACCTGCTATGTAATATAGTGTGGCAGCTTACTTGATCATCAGTGTATCTTCGTTAAAAAAGTAGATGGTCTGAGTGGGGAATCTGGTTTAAATACCCAAATCGACTCACAAGTAAAACTTCTCATTCCACACAGGATTAAGCTCTTGCGGAACGGTCTTGGTACGCTTTTTCACCTTGCCAACTTGAACGGTCACGTATGGATCACTGGTGCCGGTCTTGTCCTTTCCGATTAGTCCCTGAGCACATTTGACTGCACAGATGGAACACGAGATGGATGGAGTGTGAGTACGGACCGAAAATGAGACAAACAGGAGTAACCGGGTCCGCGTGTGACAGATCAAGCAGGGATTATAAAAGCAGCAGCAACTGCCTGCACAGTGAAACTGGAGTACGAACCTAGTGGTGGTGATAAGCTGTGCTTATCTCTGTAAAGTACTACAAAGTACAACTATAAAGTACTACAAATGATAGCTCTAGTGACCGTAGTAAACGCAGACCCACTCGGTAACTGATGATCATGAGATTCAAATGTGTCCACCGCGAGGTCAGAGCTGTTATTCACCAGCTGGATGTGATCAGAACGGGACATGGGATCCACAGCTGAGCAGTGTCTGTTCACCGACGGATCTACCAACGTGGCTCGACAAAATACTGATTGGTTCATAAGTGCGAGGAAACCAGCACTAACATTGTCACAGTGAGAGCAAAACGCCTTAAAATGGTACAAGGTCGGATGTACAATAGGGACAACGACAATGCGCTTCAACCGCTACAAACAAAACGCATCCCAAGTAACATGCAACAACCATTGCCACCGACGCCAAGGGATCCCTCGATCGCGTCCGCTCAACAGCACCAGCCACAGTTTGCCGACAGAGCACATCCCATCGTCGAATCCAAGTGTAGAGAGAATAGGGGATGTTGAAACTTAGCATCTTAGTAAACGAAAATACCTCTGAGCGAGAGTGAAAGTGTACGCACGATACAAAAACTAAACATAGGAATGTCGACACAACTTTAAGAGAAAGCAATCAGAAATGAGTCCATAAACGAAACAAGCAACAGCGACTGTGCAGTAATACTAATCCATATTTCTGGTTTCCGTTTGCAAAAAATAAATTGCTCGGCGTAACACCGAATAACACAGCGGTGTCTACCGTCTAAACAACAGCGTGCATCTGAGCTCACCGGTGATGGCAATCTTTGCGGACCACTTGCTTGTACCGTCCAAAATGCTCTGCTGTGCCTGTACCAAGCTGCGCTCGTGAGTTTTCTTGTCCACTTTAAACACCTGACCCACCAACTCGAACAAATCTGGCATTTCACTGATACGTTTGAGCATTAAGGCAGTCATTGCCTGGATGATGCTTTGCGCTTTGTCATCTGCGCCTTGCTTGGCCGATTTCTCAGCAGCACCTATGTAAAGTAACACGGAGGGCACGTCAACCGCGTGAAAGAGATGAATGACGGGAAACAGTAAAATCGTAAACGCAATTTGAACTGGACAAAGCGAGCAGTCATATTCCAAGGACAATGGGGCCGGGTTTACCAGGTGCCAAAAGAAGGCGAACTTTATCCGTTATAACGAAAGCCAGAAGGTTGTAAAAAGTGACGAACAAAATAGCTGCGGCAACACAAAACATGTGAGTGTGAAATGGTTCTTAGAGAGCAGCAAACCGATGATTGGAAAGTGAAATCCGACAAAAAAGCACACATGCATCCTGGAGGATGGAATTCTAGTCTCGAATCGTCCGAGTTATCCGAAGTGTCGCAAGATGGATGCGGTAGGTGGGTAAAATAAGTAGTGCGCAAGCTCGCCGTCTGAGAATGAAAGAAGAAAAGCAGCGAGAGAGAGAGAGACAGAGAACGTACGTTGCAAGCAGTCAGCGTTAAGCAATTCACGACACTTCTCGTGGCACTTCACACCACACTCAGAGCATCGAAGACCTTGACGAGCCAGGCCCCAGAGAAGCCCCTCACACTCGTAGCAGTAGGTCGGACTGGAAGCGGACCAAACTTGGAAGTTGTGAGGAGTGTTGCTCGAAATGGGATACACCAAAGCTTGTAGAGTTTTTCGGTAGACGTGCTGTTTCTGAGTTGCCAAAAGGAAACAAAAAAATGGAAGCACTGACACTATCTGCATGCAAAACAGCTTACAAATTTAGAGAGAATGGATCGAATTGTCAAGTCTCGTTTCACATTGAAGACCAAAATTAGCAACCTGTATCTCTTCTACCCATTGAGTGAACAATGAACAGAAATTTAGCGACAGTTACCAACTAACCTCTGCATGTCACACCGATGGAGATGCGGTGCACAGCAAAGACAGAGGTGACATTGGAAAGGTCAGGCAATGGCCACCAGCCCTTAGTTGACATCTTGTCCATTGCAATCCTAAGTAGATTGTACGCAGTGGATTTAGTCCTACGATGGTAGGTAATCTTTGGAAGTTACACATTCACACGACTGGAAGCACGACAACGGTTAAATTATGTGGTGTGGGCTAGGGAATGAAGCCGAATGAACGATGTGCGATTTAGATTGAGAAGCAATGCTTCCACTAAAGAGAACGTTGCAGCAAATTGACTGAGATACTATTCACAGGCGAATGCCATATTCAAAAGCTAGCTTAGCGATTACGCGTGTCATCAGTGGTTTTTCATAAAGGTCACAACTATCGCAAGGGAGTTCAATGCAGATGGATAACTGTGGACCAACTTAGAGAACCTATAAAAATGCAACTCATGTGTCAAACTGAAGGAATTCAACGCCCAAGGGAGTAGGTACGGGGACGCAAAGTAAGAAGCTACGGTGGCCCGGGCTAGCGAAGAGTTAAAAACTCGTACCTGTGGACTTCGTTTTGTTGCGTTCATTTGTTGAAACTTGTTTGAACGTGTCATTTTTTAATCACATTGGCGGTTTAGGGTCGTTGGTTCCGGGTGTGGACAGTAGTTTCGTTTTGATGCGAAGGTATCATTTTCCTTTCTTCGTGTGCATCTGATTACTTATTTATTCGTTCGGTCCTAACTGGCTTTCTCTGATCGCACGGGTTCAGCGCTCTGGCTGGGTTGTACAGCCACGCGCATGCTATATAAAAAGTGTGGTTTTCCTAAGAGAAAAACGCTGAACTCTTTTTGTTGGTTGGCGTTCTCACTATCGTTAGTGGACGAAAGCAGATACACGAGTGAAACTAGCGCCGTGACTGCGCTGCATCGGAATAAGGAACCCGACACTGATAGGGTCTTCCAAGAGTCCCCCATTGGCGATGAAGGAGCGTTACAACCTGAGCAATACCACCGGATCAATTCGTTCACAACCTATTATCATTATGAGGTTGGGCCCAACAGTAAGAGATGTAGGCATAGTGTCAACACCAGTTGCTTGGTCAGTGGTAGTCCCTAGATAGACAATCTGAGATGGAAAAAACAAAAACGGAGAAAAAGAAGTGGGATCTTGTAAGCGTATGATATTCTCCAGCTGTTCATTCCGACAGCGGAGTTTGTCCGAGGTCCTTAGTCACTAACATTTAACACATTTTAACCAAAAAACAATGGGAAACAGGTCGGAATTGGAAATATGGCTGTAGGGTCTTATTGGAGTCAGTCTGAAGTCGGACACACGCAGTAAAGGAAGATTCAGCATAATCCACACATACTTTTTTATGGTATCATGCAATCCAACTGTGATCACGGTTAATCGCAGATGGGATTTGGTGAGTTTGTCCCTTTCTGTACACGGACTGCCCAGCTTCAGACTGGTGACAACAGACCAGTGAGTGAGGACGGTGTTTCACCTTCGTTAGCGGCAACCCGTTGAGCTTATGGGCTATGCCAAACTAGTTGGTTATCACTTGCAGACTATCATCTGCTATGGATGAGTTTTAGCGGAAGAGCGCAACCGAGCTCCCCGTGAGGATGATGCTAATAAAGGGCTGCTATGAGCTATACCTACCGGCTTGTCTAGTCTGAACTGCTGTGAATGAACGAAGTGCGAGGGTACGCAAAGCATGGCTACACTTCAACGTTCAGATTCCTTGGAGGCTAAGATGCGGAGTTGTGGCTTACAAATTTGGCCTGATGACCTGGCATCGGAGCGATGCACCATGGGATAAGCATCACGATAGGTAAGTTGGAAATATGCTGTAAAAAAGGACATTCCAATTAGCGCTCTACTAATATGAGCCAAGAGGACCAATACCGATGTGTCGCGGTTCAGTTGGGTTTAGGCCCAGGAGCGAGTGGTGGATAGGCAACATACACAGCGAACCAGCGCACAGTTGAGGAGGGTGCAAGCCGTGTGAGTCAAGAAGAAGGAGCCAAATAGCCGTGACACGAGACTGGACGGAACAGTTCCAAACCGGAAGAACAAAAATCACCATGCCCCAAAAGTGGATGTGGTCTACTCTCGGGGGCTGCATACGCGGATATCAAAATGAGAGCCAAGGTACTTACGAGCTCCTCATCATTAATCGATTGTCGAGTGATCAAATTGGCGCTTGCAGTGCCGAGATTTCGCTTCTGAACAGCCATGGTCTGTGGAGAAGAAGAGGAAGACGCGAGGTGACGTGAAGGGAAAGAAAGATGCATTAAACGATTCGTTCCTTCGTGGGCACGGTTAACTCAATTTAATCCAAAAGGTTCAATGCATAGGGATATGACGAACCCAGATGCGCTTACTTGTATTACCTGGGGAATAAAAAAGAAGATGGAAGAGGGTAGACAGAAAAACGTTGAAGAGCAATCATGCGTACATAGTTCTAACTTAAAAATAGCACTGAACGCAACGAGTAGTTTAGAGACATACCAAAGAAAGCAATGTGTCATGTCGGTACAGAGAACTGATATATGACAAAAAGAGAATTAGGGAATACGGCTTTGCAGGATTAACACAAGAGAAGAAATTAATTACCTTCTCCCAAGGTAAACTAGATGGTGGACGGAAGAAGGGGTTCTCTTAGGGTACTAATTGTTACTGACCACGATACACACTTAATGGCTTCTCATGATTTGGTTTGACTTCAGATTAGAGAGAAGAGCGATAGCGTAGTATTCGCTTTAGAACTCTAGTTGTCAAGGCGTACTAATCAGAATATCATGTGAATGGACGGGCATTATACGCCGAACA